GTTAATTCCTTCAACCCTTGGATCCAACACGTAAGCCCAAAGATTTCGAGTGGAGTGAGTGTATGGATATCTAGCCCAACAACTTTCGGATGGATCAGGAAACAAGAGAAATAGCAGGCAATGTAAATAGGTATTATTAACTTCGTAATAACTCCCCTAAGTACAACCTACTTGCTAAAAAAGGCACGTCGGCCGTTCGTCTTACAAGGCAGTAGAAATGCTGCGAGTAAGAATACAATAGCTAGAGTGCTAAGAATAGAAAGTTGCCAACCCTTTACAATGAAATAAATGCTTCTATTTATACCCACCAATGGGCAGGTGGCTGTGCTGACGTGGCAGCCTGTGGACCGCTGGTGCCCCAACTACCAAATCTTCAGCATTAAATGCACTTCCCGCCAGAATCTAGGCTTCCCGCCTAATCAGTGGGGACGTTCGTCCACCCGGGAAGTGAGCTGGATCCCCCCAAGTGACCCTCAGGAGACACCGGCTGTTCGTCTCCTGGCCTTGATAGATACTCACCACGTGGACTGGGCCTCCTCCGATGACTATAGGCTTGTCATGGGGACGTTCGTCGTCATCCCTGGTGGCCCGCGACCCTGCTCCTTATCCCTACATTGACGTTCATCGGGAGGAGCCGCTGGGCCTGAACCCCCAACCCCAGACGTTCGTCCATCCTCAAGGAACATGGGCCTGTGGGCCGGCCTAGTGTTCTAACTGGATGTCCGTCTGGCAAAATGGGTTAGTGGGCCGGACCTCGGCTTGGGCCCTTAACCCAACACACGTGTACCTACCATTCACACAGAGAGTAAAAGATGGACCTTCCCGAGTTGTAGAGCTTTGCTCATTGTGGGATACCTATTATTTTCCACTCAAAACAATTAAATTAATTAATTAAGATGAAATGTACCATATTAAACAGTAATTAAAGTCACTGGCGCGGAACCAGAGATAAATTCGAAGGGCTGCTCTTATATATACATGGTATAATATTTTTTACAAAATAATTTTTTATAAGGATAAAGGAAAAACGAGTAAAAATTAATCATTAGATATATAGAGTGGGACTCCATTGAAAAGTGTTAGACCGATGTGTTAGACCGAGATTTTTGGGCTTCTATATTGTAATTGTGTTTATAAACCTAACTAGTAGTATTTGGGCCAAGGGTTTATGTTTTTGGGCCAACTTATGTATAAATACACTACATACTCTCTTAATAAGAGACACATAATATTCTTTGCCTTTATTCATACACTGGTGCGCAACATGGTATCAGAGCATCATTAACGGCGCAGAGTCTTCTTCGGCAATCGCGTGAGGCAGCACCAGCGTGTTCGTCCTCTTACGCCATGGCCGATCCTTCTTCTCCGTACTACCTCGGGTCTGGAGATCAGCCCGGGAACTTGATTACCCATGTGATTTTCCGTGGAGATAATTATGTAGGATGGTCTCGAGCCATCACTCTTTCCCTGAAGGCGAGAAGAAAGTACTGCTTCGTGGATGGTTCGATGAGAAAGCCGACTGAGCCAGAAAAATTGGTCCTCGATTGGGAGACTGTGAATTCTATGGTGATCTCCTGGTTGCTACGTAGCATGGAGCCCAACGTGGTCACATCTATTCCCTTCCATGAAGAGGCCCGGGCATTATGGATGTATTTGGAAAAGAGGTTCAGTGTTGCAAACGGGCCACATATTCAGCAGCTCCGGAAATCGATTACTGACTGTAAGCAGACAAAGGGCATGACTGTGGACAGCTATTTCACAACCTTGATGGGCCTGTTCGATGAACTGAATCGGCTCAAGCCCCTGCACTCTTGTACGTGCAAGTTGTGCACTTGTGATGTCGCGGCAAAGTTTGCTAAGGACAGGGAAGAAGAAAAACTCCATCAGTTTCTAATAGGAATCGACGATGAACTGTTTGGAACGGTTCGTTCCAATCTACTCTCGCATACCACGATTCCTGATCTTGACCAAGCTTACCAAGTGTTCCTCCAAGAAGAAAATTCTCGTGCAGCCGCCCGTGGAAAACAGCCTGCTCCAGTAGTAGATGTTCAGGCATTCGCTGTGACCAAACCACGATCAGATCGCGCTGACCGAATGAAACTTATTTTCACTCATTGCAAACAAAAAGGGCATGAAGTTGGAAATTGCTTTAAGCTTCATGGATATCCGGAATGGTGGGACGAGAGGAATAAAAATAAAGGGGTGGTGACTGCCGGGACACGTGACAGCAGTGGCGGCCGTGGAGGGGGGTGCGTACTCACGCCATATCTCCCACTCTGGCGCCCACCGGAGGTAGCGAACCATCCTCTTCAAAGGGCTCGGTAAATGGGCTGAATGAGTTGAGTAAAGAGCAGGTTCAGTCACTTTTGGATTTGATTAATATTGACACTAGTTCGTGTGAACGTATGTCAGGTAATTCTTTGCCTTGGATTCTTGATACTGGGGCATCTCATCATGTGACAGGTGAATTAAATTGCCTCACAAAACGTAACTTAATTCGGGCATGTCCGGTTGGGCTGCCCGATGGAAGAACCGTGGCAGCTGTGGTGGAAGGACGTGTTCATCTTTCCCAAACTTTAGCACTTGACCATGTGCTTTATGTACCCGGATTGAATTGTCACTTAATATTTGTTTCTCAATTAATTGATCAACTTGCCTGCACTGTCACTTTCACTAATTTATTTTGTGCTATTCAGGACCCACGCTCGAGGAACCTGATTGGAGCCGGTGAAAGGCGAGATGGGCTTTATTTTTTCCAAGGAGTTCCAGTGGTACATGCGGTTCACAAATCGGTTCTGTCAGATTTCGAATTGTGGCATCGTAGATTGGGGCATCCTTCAGATTGAGTACTTAAATTTTTACCTCACATTGTTGCTAGTTCTTCTAAGAAGGCACTTAATAAAACCTGCGAGGTGTGTCCGCAGGCCAAACAAGTTAGTGATTTTTTTCCTAGTATTTTTTGACCTTGGTTGATGATTATTCTCGAGCTGTGGGTATATTTGTTGCGTGATAAGAAGGAAGTTCTACACTATTTTGTGTCTTTTATTCTTATGGTTGAGAAGCAATTTGAACAATCTGTGAAAATTGTTCGTAGTGACAACGGAACTGAGTTTAGATGTATGCTGCCTTATTTTGATAATCATGGCATAATTTTTCGAACATCCTGTGTTGAGACACCTCAACAGAATGGCAGAGTTGAACGGAAGCACCATCACATCTTGAATGTGGCACGTGCCTTGATGTTTCAGGCTTCTATTCCTATATTTTTGTAGGAGGAATGCATCTTAGCAGCAGTCTATGTTATCAATAGAACTCCTTCCGGTTTATTGGGGGGCAAAACACCATACAAAATTCTTACTGGACATGCACCGGATTTTGATCACTTGAAGGTATTTGGGTGCTTAAGCTTTGCACGTAATCTTAAGACTCGTGGTGATAAATTTGCTCCTCGAAGCCGGAAATGCGTCTTTGTTGGTTATCCCTCCGGAAAGAAGGGATGGAAACTTTACGACTACGACTCGGGTGATATCTTTGTATCTCGGGATGTGCTCTTCCATGAGGAGATTTTTCCCTTTGAACAACAGTTGACTGCTCCGAATACTGAACCTGCTTCCACCACGGTTGTTCATGATGACCCAATACTGGCCGAGCATACCGAGGGTGATATGGAGGCTGGGGATACCACGCATGCAGCTACGGACATTCAGGCAGACTCCTTACCACTGGGACGTGGTCTACGTTCCAAACGTCCCTCCGTCTTATTACGGGACTTCGTCACGCATCATGTACGGAAAATAAGCCCATCTTCGTCGACACCTGCTTCTCTCAGATCCTCAGGTACGCGGTATTCTTTAGCACATTATTTAAATTGTGAAAAATTCTCTTTTCGCCATCGCATGTTTCTTGGAGCTGTTCTTGCAGGACATGAACCTACTTCTTTTCGTGAAGCCATGAAAGACCCCAGTTGGCGTGCGGCGATGCAACAAGAGATACAGGCACTTGAAAATAATAAAACGTGGGATATGGTCCCGCTTCCCCCTGGAAAACGGGCGCTTGGCTGCAAGTGGGTCTATAAGATCAAATACCATTCTGACGGGACGGTGGAACGTCTCAAAGCACGTCTTGTAGTGCTTGGTAATCATCAAAAAGAAGGTATTGACTATACTGAAACTTTTGCACCAGCGGCCAAAATGGTCACTGTCCGTGTTTTTTTAGCCATTGCTGCAGCTAAAAATTGGGAGATTCATCAGATGGATGTGCATAATGCGTTTCTTCATGGTGACTTAGGTGATGAGGTTTACATGAAACCTCCACCTGGGTTTCACTCTTCTCGGCCCACTCTAGTTTGTAAGTTGAAAAAGTCATTATATGGTCTACGTCAAGCACCCCGGTGTTGGTTTGCTAAGCTCACTCATGCACTGCGTTCATACGGATTTTCTCAATCCAAATCTGACTATTCCTTGTTTACTTATCAACGAGGTGATGTGCGTTTACATATATTAATATATGTGGATGATTTAATTATTGCTGGCAACCATTCATCTGCTCTCAAACAATTCAAGGAATATTTGCATTCTTGTTTTCATATGAAGGATTTAGGTCCTCTTAAATACTTTCTTGGCATAGAGGTGGCTCGTAGTCCAGAAGGGTTGTTTCTCTGTCAGCGCAAATACACATTGGACATTATTTCTGAGGCTGGTTTGCTAGGAGCAAAGCCGTCCTCCTGTCCTATGGAACCAAATCATTCCCTCGCCTTAACTACAGGAGATTTGCTGACAGACCCGGAGTCCTACCGACGTCTTGTGGGCAGGCTCATTTATCTCTCCTTTACTCGTCCCGATCTGGCTTATTCTGTTCATATTTTATCTCAGTTTATGCAGGCTCCGCGACAAGAACATTGGCATGCTGCTTTGCGGGTTGTTCGCTATCTCAAAGGTTCACCGGGTCAAGGCATTATTATGCCTTCTTCTTCTGATTTACATCTCACGGCCATAGCACTTCCGATGATCGGGAACCCTAGCACTTCGGCGGCACCGCCGTCGCCAGAGCAGCCTCCACCTCCGGGAAGGAATATCTGGGACTCTAAGCGTACTTTTGTTTCTGTTTTACTCAATAAAGAGGAAGCTAAATTCTCCACCACTCATGCCCGATTTAAAGGTATGCCATCAGTTTCGTTTTTGGAGGATGATGTTCAAACACTTGCAGATCAACATAAGCATGCTTTAGTTGGTTATTTCTACAAGGGGCGGCCACCTCTTGCCACTATTAGACGTTCGTTTGAAATCATAGGTTTCAAAGGAGTTTTTCATATTGGATTGATAGAGAAAAAACACATCCTAATCAGGTTTGATATGGAAGAGGATTACATTCGTTGTTGGAATCGCCAAAATTGGGACATTCAAGGAAATATAATGAAGGTTACCAAATGGTCCCCTGATTTTAAACCGAATGTTGATTCGCCCATTGTTCCGGTATGGTTGGTGCTGGAAGGTCTACCTATCCACCTTCATGATAAAAGGGCTTTGTTCGAAATTGCAGGACTAATAGGCAAGCCCCTAAAATTGGATGTTGCTACTGCTACTCTGGCAAGACCATCCCAAGCCCGAGTTTGTGTTGAGTTAGATCTCACTAAGGAAATGCCTAATAAAGTGTGGATCCAAGCTGGAAAATTGGGGTTTGTTCAGCCTGTTATCTATGAATACAGGCCGTATTACTGCACCAATTGCTTTCACCTGGGACATGAAGCTAGTAGGTGCCCAAAAAAGATGATTGAAGGTAATATCGTGCCTCAGGTTGAAGCTACTGGCGCTAAAAATAATAAATGGGTTGCTAAAACTCAGACTACTACTCAGGCAGATAGTGTGAAAATAGCCAGGAAGGACAAAGAATCAGACCAAAACCAAATTACATCGGGGAAGTCTCAAATTACATCAGGGGGAGTTACACTGGACAAAGGGAAGGCTATTGTAATTTTTAAGTCTCAGGAATCTCACATGCCTTCATCTTCTCAGCTTCTGCCTTCCCAGCCACAAAGACAGGATTCTGTTCAGCCACCAATTCAGCCACAAAGACAGGATTCTGCTCAGCCCTTGCTTCTTGCTTCATCTACTGCTCAGAACTCTCAGACTATGATTCAGGAATCATCTGCTAAGCAATCCCAGAATATGACCCAGCAACAGGTTCTTGACCTAACAAATAACATTGATTCAGAATCTGACATAGAAGAGGTTTTCCATGAAAAACCACCATCTGCAAAAAAGGTCTCTAATGAGGATAACAGATTAAGCATGAAAAACCTAGATTATTTAGTTCATGGTAACATTCCTGGACTTACCACATCAAAGCAGGGTAAATCCATCAGGGATGACTTTTCAATCTTTCAACTGGAGAAAACCAATGCTTTTGATCCTGAAATTGCTGCAAAAGAATATGGATCTGATTCAGAGGTACCAAACCATACAGAATCTAAAGAAGATTGGTTATTAGCATTACCTGGTTTAGAAAATAAAGTGAATCAGTTGGTTAATTCAGGTGTAGTCAGGGATGACTCAGAACTGTTGTCAGCTTTAGCTCTTACTAAGGATGGCATACAAAATCACATTGATCCAGGAGGAGAATTTATTACTGTGGGGAGGAGGAGAAGGCAGAAGAAAACTTATACACAGACTCCAGGGGTTATAACTAGAAGTACTGCCAGAAGGCAAGCACAGACTATTCCCCAACCTCCTAAATGAATGGTCTCATATGGAATTTGAGGGGTCTGGCTGCCTCCGGGCCAAGGCTGTCTCATCTTATCTCTAAATGGAGGATTCAATTTCTCATTGCTATTGAGCCCATGGTTTTTTCTAATAAAGCAGATTCTTTCAGAATGGAGTTTGGTTTCTCTCATGTTCTGTTCAGCCCTATTAATAAAGTTTGGATTTTTTGGAAGTCTGATAGGATCCAGATTTCTGATGTTACCTGGGGTCCTCAGTCTACTCATTTTAAATTTTCTTGTGGTCCACAGACTGGTTGGTTTACTGCTATTTATGCTAGACATACACAGATTGAGAGAAGAGATTTGTGGACTTATCTAGCTAATATTGCTGGCTCTATTCAAGGTCCATGGATTGTAGGAGGAGACTTTAATACTATTCTGAATAATGCTGATCATAAGGGGAACACTATTCCTAATCAAACAGGAATGCAAGAATTTCAAGATTGCATTTCTCAGTGTGATCTTATAGACCTACCTTTTTCAGGCTGTAAATATACCTGGACGGGAGTCAGATCTAGGGGTAGGTTATGGAGAAGACTGGATAGATGCCTGGCTAATGATGCATTTCTGGACCTCTTTGAGTCTGTTAAGCTTACCAATCTTTGCCAAGCTCCTTCTGATCATTCTCCCATGTTACTACAATGTTCTACACAGATTCAATCAGGGCCCAAGCCTTTTAAGTTTCAAAATATGTGGTTGACACATAATTCATTCTTAAGTGTGGTTTCTAAAAGCTGGAATGAGACAAGTAGTGGAGGGGGGATGCATGGACTTGTTATTAAACTTCAACAGCTTAAGAAGGTCTTAAAAAAATGGAACAGAGAAGTCTTTGGAAACATTTTTGATGATATTAAATATGCTGAGCAGGAAATGTCTAAGGCTGAACAAGAGTATTTGGATCATAACACTGAAGAAAAAAGGGAGAATTGGCAGCATAAAAAAGCCTTACTTGTTAGTAAATATAGAATTGAAAGAAAATTCTGGAAACAAAAAGCAAAGGTTAAGTGGTTAAAAGATGGAGATGCTAACTCCCAATATTTTCATTCCCTAGTCAAGATCAGAAGGAAGAGGCAGCAAATTCATTCTATTAAAGATGCAGAAGGGAGATATCTTACCACCTTAACTGAAATTGGCAATGAGGCTGTTAAATTCTTTTCTGAGTTGTATGCCAACAAACCTGTGACACTGCAAAATGATATTCTCAGGCATATACCCAATATTGTCAATCAGATGGATAATGATTATATTACTGCTATGCCCGAGGAAGATGAAATTAAAGCAGCTGTTTGGGATCTGAACCAGAATGGAGCCCCAGGTCCAGATGGGTTCACAGGTAAATTTTATAAGAAGTGTTGGCACATAGTGGGGAATGATGTAGTTAAAGCAGTTCAGGAATTTTTTATTGGAATTCCTCCTCCTAAAGGTTTTTCAAGCTCATTAATTGCTTTAATTCCTAAGAAGGAAGTTCCTGAATATTTCTCTGAGTTCAGACCCATTTGTTTATCCAATTTCTCCAACAAGATTTGTACTAAAGTCTTGGCTTCTAGACTGCTCAACATTTTGCCTAAGATTATATCTGAAGAACAGGCAGGTTTTGTCAAAGGAAGAGATATTGCGGATCAAGTTTTAATAGCCCAGGAAATGATCCACTCCATTGATAAAAATATAAGGGGTTCTAATGTTGTTATCAAGCTTGATATGGCTAAGGCTTTTGATAAGCTATCTTGGGATTATCTTGTTGATATTTTATCTAGATTTGGTTTCTCAGAAAAATTTATTTCCCTTGTTAAATCCAATCTTCAATCCACATATCTGTCTGTTATCATTAATGGAAGCCCTCATGGGTTCTTCCAGCCTAAGAGGGGAGTCAAACAGGGAGACCCTCTCTCCCCATTTCTGTTTATCATTGCTTCTGAAGGTTTTTCTAGAGGGCTGAAGTCCAAAATGGAAGAGGGTTTGATTAAACCATACTGGATAGGCACACAAGGGCACTCCATCAGCCATCTTGGCTTTGCTGATGATCTCTTAATATTTACAAATGGAGATTCCAGGTCTTTGATGAGATTTAAACAATTTTTAGAAGATTATCAACTTGTTTCTGGACAAACAGTAAATCTTGAAAAGAGCAGTTTTGTTTGTGGGAAGAGAGCAACTTACAGGAGTAATATCATCAAGGATATTCTGGGAATGAAGAAGTCCAATCTCCCTATGAAGTACCTGGGATCCAACCTGCATAAAGGCATGAATAAATTTAATTATTGCTCTCAGTTATTACAACATTTTGACTCTAAACTCTCTTCTTGGAAACATAAAAATCTGACTCAGGGGGGGAGATTAATTCTCATCAAGCATGTTTTGAGTAGTATTCCCAATCATATTATGGCCACTGATAAGCTTCCAAGAAGAGTAATTACTACTATTGAGAGAAAAATGTCAAACTTTTTATGGGGCTCATATGCCAATAGATCTAAATTTCATTGGGCTAGATGGTCTACACTCTGCTATCCTACCTCAGAAGGTGGACTTGGGATTAGGGCTCTTTCAGATATTGAAAAAGCATTCTCATATAAACTATGGTGGAAGTGGAAAACCCAAGATACTTTATGGTGTAGATTCATTCAGGCAAGGTATCCTAGAGGGGAAAACATGAGACCTAAAATAACAGATTCAAGCATCTGGAGGAGACTTTGTGAAGTTCATGATGTTGCTACTGATTTGTGTTCTTATAGCTCAGAAGGTATTATGCAGTGGGATCCTGGTATTCAAGGTTCTTTCTCTCTGAATTCTGCATATAATGTAATAAGATCACACAGGTCAGTCACTTTTACTTATGAACACACTTGGGATAAAAATCAGATAATGCAGATTAAGATATTTATTTGGAAGATGCTCAATTCTTATCTGCCTATCACTGACAACCTTAAGAGGTTCCAAATTACTCTCCAACCCTCAAGATGTCCATTGTGTAGGAACAACAGCGATACTACTGAGCATGTATTTTTTGGTTGTTACTACTCCAAGAAAATTTGGCAATATTTCATGGGAGTTTTTGGAATTAAAATGCCTGAGGAAGCTCGGATTAGGCAAATTTTTATTCTATGGTGGATTGAAGCAGGATCAAAAACCCTGGGTGATATAATTATTCATAATATGCCCGGAATCATTTCATGGCATATTTGGAAGAGTTATACATCTGCCATTTGGGGTTCAGGTACCTTTCCTAACCCAGAGCAACTGATTTTACAGATTAAACTCTATACACAAAATTGGGTTTATTCCTTGGCAAAAATCAAAAGGAGAGTGGTGGAAAGCTATCTTATTCATGAATATCTTGTTCCGATTAACTTCAAGTTTAACAATTCTGGAATACAAATTGTTAAATGGAAAAGACCTAAGAAAATGTACAAGCTAAACGTAGATGCTTCCTTCAAACCTGGCCATATTATGGGGGGAGCAATTCTTAGAAATCGGACTGGTGAAATGGTCTGGGCGGCCATCTTCGGCGTCCAGGCGAGTTCAAGCTCAGAAGCGGAGCTTAGATCTTTGATAAAAGCTTGTGAAATGGTGATGGAGGCCGGTTTTGTTGATGTTCAAGTGGAAGCCGATGCTTCTCAGGTGATTGCGGAGGTTTTGGGCGATTCAGGAAATCTAGCTTCTTTCAGGCAAAAAGCAACGGCCAGTGGATTTTCATTTGGACATGTCTTTCGAGAAGGTAATGGGCCTGCACATTTGCTTGCAAACCATAGGTTGGACTCGGCCCACACTATGGTTTTTAATCAGATTGATCAGCTTCCCATCGAGGTTAAACATGGTTATTATGCAGATCTGTTCGGTTTTCCAGTTTTACGCACCTAACTTTGTATATCTTGTTCGTTTTATTGCTTCGTGTTACAAGAGGTTTTGGTTCGGTCCCCCTCTTTTGTACTATTTCCACATTATCATTAATAATACATTGGTAAATGTACTCCGGCATTTACCCCACTGATTTTGGTGGTTTGCCTTCCGGAAAAAAAAAAAAAAAAAAAAAAAAAAAAAAAAAAAAAAAAAAAAAAAAAAAAAAAAAAAAAAAAAAAAAAATTACATCTCACGGCCTGGTGTGATTCAGACTGGGCTAATTGTCCCCTCACTCGTCGCTCGTTAACAGGATGGGTCATTTTTCTCGGCGCTTCTCCTATTTCTTGGAAGACCAAGAAGCAACACACAGTTTCCCGCTCTTCTACCGAAGCTGAATACCGCTCCATGGCAGCCGTCACTGCCGAATTAAAATGGCTACACGGTCTTCTTCTATCTTTTGGGATCTTTCATTCCTCTCCCATGACATTGTCTTGTGATAGTCGGTCTGCTCTCCATATCGCTCACAATCCTGACACCACTTAGGCAAAAAGCACATTAGATCAATCATGCTAATTTGCAACAGTATTATATAGTTATTCACTATAAACTCAAAAAACATCTAAAACGCTTTACAATATATCATAACTCAAACATGCAAAACAGGAATGGTCAGATGGGAGCTACAATTGGCCAATGGTTATCTGCAATTAAAACAATATGTCGAATAAAACTAAACTTATTAAATTGATGCAGTTCAAAAATAATGTTTTACGGGACAAATGACGATTGGGAAGAGATTCAAAGGAAACTACCATTTTCTTAAGCCGTTCTTCACTAACCAGTGGAGACCAATAAAGGTAAGCTGCCCAACCTTTGTCCTTTCACATGACTACTCTGACGGGAGATTAAGTAAACCAGAAATTCAATCAAAACTAACGAAAAGAACAAAAGCGATTTGTAATACCCGTATATGCAGCAGACCACTTCATCTGCCTGCTTTATCCCTAACTATTTCTGCCTGGGCGGCCAAAAGTAGCAAACCTAGCCAAATGTGTGGGTGACTGGGACCTGCAGAGAAGGAGGGGGAGGGAGGCAATGCAGGACGCAAAAGGGTAGTTTCATCGGCCAGGGGCCTCAGAGATAAACTGAAAATCGATTTGGGCCTCCGATAGCAGAAACAAAACCCACCATGGCTAGCCGTCCGTTGATTC